TAGCAGTACAACCCTGAAGGCACAAATTGGTAAATATACAAGGCCTATCCCGCCCCTATCCAAGCACCCTTCAACGCTCGAACGAGGGCCAGGTTCTCAGCCAATACAATCATCGATTACCACTGCATCATCTATTGTTATGGCCATTGGCAGCTACCTCACCCAGCGAGAGGACATTGTTATTGTCAATATTTACATTACCCAGAGTCTGGGGTCGTGAAGTATTTTGTGTTGCACTAAGTGTTTCTGGGGGTAGAAGGTCCTTGGTGCTTGTGTTACACTAAGTGTTTCTGGGGGTAGAAGGTCCTTGGTGCTTGTGTTACACTAAGTGTTTCTGGGGGTAGAAGGTCCTTGGTGCTAGTGTTACACTAAGTGTTTCTGGGGGTAGAAGGTCCTTGGTGCTAGTGTTACACTAAGTGTTTCTGGGGGTAGAAGGTCCTTGGTGCTTGTGTTACACTAAGTGTTTCTGCGGGTAGAAGGTCCTTGGTGCTAGTGTTACACTAAGTGTTTCTGGGGGTAGAAGGTCCTTGGTGCTAGTGTTACACTAAGTGTTACACTAAGTGTTTCTGGTGGTAGAAGGTCCTTGGTGCTTGTGTTACACTAAGTGTTTCTGGGGGTAGAAGGTCCTTGGTGCTAGTGTTACACTAAGTGTTTCTGGTGGTAGAAGGTCCTTGGTGCTTGTGTTACACTAAGTGTTTCTGGGGGTAGAAGGTCCTTGGTGCTAGTGTTACACTAAGTGTTTCTGGGGGTAGAAGGTCCTTGGTGCTAGTGTTACACTAAGTGTTTCTGGTGGTAGAAGGTCCTTGGTGCTAGTGTTACACTAAGTGTTTCTGGGGGTAGAAGGTCCTTGGTGCTTGTGTTACACTAAGTGTTTCTGGGGGTAGATGGTCCTTGGTGCTAGTGTTACACTAAGTGTTTCTGGGGGTAGAAGGTCCTTGGTGCTAGTGTTACACTAAGTGTTTCTGGTGGTAGAAGGTCCTTGGTGCTAGTGTTACACTAAGTGTTTCTGGGGGTAGATGGTCCTTGGTGCTAGTGTTACACTAAGTGTTTCTGGGGGTAGAAGGTCCTTGGTGCTTGTGTTACACTAAGTGTTTCTGGGGGTAGAAGGTCCTTGGTGCTAGTGTTACACTAAGTGTTTCTGGGGGTAGAAGGTCCTTGGTGCTTGTGTTACACTAAGTGTTTCTGGGGGTAGAAGGTCCTTGGTGCTAGTGTTACACTAAGTGTTTCTGGGGGTAGAAGGTCCTTGGTGCTTGTGTTACAATAAGTGTTACACTAAGTGTTTCTGGTTGAAGAAGGTCCTTGGTGCTTGTGTTACACTAAGTGTTTCTGGGGGTAGAAGGTCCTTGGTGCTAGTGTTACACTAAGTGTTACACTAAGTGTTTCTGGTGGTAGAAGGTCCTTGGTGCTTGTGTTACACTAAGAGTTTCTGGGGGTAGAAGGTCCTTGGTGCTAGTGTTACACTAAGTGTTTCTGGGGGTAGAAGGTCCTTGGTGCTTGTGTTACACTAAGTGTTACACTAAGTGTTTCTGGTGGTAGAAGGTCCTTGGTGCTTGTGTTACACTAAGTGTTTCTGGTGGTAGAAGGTCCTTGGTGCTTGTGTTACACTAAGTGTTTCTGGGGGTAGAAGGTCCTTGGTGCTTGAGTTGCACTAAGTGTTTCTGGGGGTAGAAGGTCCTTGGTGCTTGTGTTACACTAAGTGTTTCTGGGGGTAGAAGGTCCTTGGTGCTAGTGTTACACTAAGTGTTTCTGGGGGTAGAAGGTCCTTGGTGCTAGTGTTACACTAAGTGTTTCTTGGGGTAGAAGGTCCTTGGTGCTTGAGTTGCACTAAGTGTTTCTGGGGGTAGAAGGTCCTTGGTGCTTGTGTTACACCAAGTGTTTCTGGGGGGTAGAAGGTCCTTGGTGCTTGAGTTGCACTAAGTGTTTCTGGGGGGTAGAAGGTCCTTGGTGCTTGTGTTACACTAAGTGTTTCTGGGGGGTAGAAGGTCCTTGGTGCTTGTGTTACACTAAGTGTTTCTGGGGGTAGAAGGTCCTTGGTGCTAGTGTTACACTAAGTGTTACACTAAGTGTTTCTGGTGGTAGAAGGTCCTTGGTGCTAGTGTTACACTAAGTGTTTCTGGGGGTAGAAGGTCCTTGGTGCTTGTGTTACACTAAGTGTTTCTGGGGGTAGATGGTCCTTGGTGCTAGTGTTACACTAAGTGTTTCAGGGGGTAGAAGGTCCTTGGTGCTAGTGTTACACTAAGTGTTTCTGGGGGTAGAAGGTCCTTGGTGCTAGTGTTACACTAAGTGTTTCTGGTGGTAGAAGGTCCTTGGTGCTAGTGTTACACTAAGTGTTTCTGGGGGTAGATGGTCCTTGGTGCTAGTGTTACACTAAGTGTTTCTGGGGGTAGAAGGTCCTTGGTGCTTGTGTTACACTAAGTGTTTCTGGGGGTAGATGGTCCTTGGTGCTAGTGTTACACTAAGTGTTTCTGGGGGTAGAAGGTCCTTGGTGCTTGTGTTACACTAAGTGTTTCTGGGGGGTAGAAGGTCCTTGGTGCTAGTGTTACACTAAGTGTTTCTGGGGGTAGAAGGTCCTTGGTGCTTGTGTTACACTAAGTGTTTCTGGGGGTAGAAGGTCCTTGGTGCTTGTGTTACACTAAGTGTTTCTGGGGGTAGAAGGTCCTTGGTGCTTGTGTTACACTAAGTGTTTCTGGGGGTAGAAGGTCCTTGGTGCTAGTGTTACACTAAGTGTTTCTGGGGGTAGAAGGTCCTTGGTGCTTGTGTTACAATAAGTGTTACACTAAGTGTTTCTGGTTGAAGAAGGTCCTTAGTGCTTGTATTACACTAAGTGTTTCTGGGGGTAGAAGGTCCTTGGTGCTTGTGTTACACTAAGTGTTTCTGGGGGTAGAAGGTCCTTGGTGCTTGTGTTACACTAAGTGTTTCTGGGGGTAGAAGGTCCTTGGTGCTAGTGTTACACTAAGTGTTTCTGGGGGTAGAAGGTCCTTGGTGCTTGTGTTACACTAAGTGTTACACTAAGTGTTTCTGGTGGTAGAAGGTCCTTGGTGCTTGTATTACACTAAGTGTTTCTGGTGGTAGAAGGTCCTTGGTGCTTGTGTTACACTAAGTGTTTCTGGGGGTAGAAGGTCCTTGGTGCTTGAGTTGCACTAAGTGTTTCTGGGGGTAGAAGGTCCTTGGTGCTTGTGTTACACTAAGTGTTTCTGGGGGTAGAAGGTCCTTGGTGCTAGTGTTACACTAAGTGTTTCTGGGGGTAGAAGGTCCTTGGTGCTAGTGTTACACTAAGTGTTTCTGGGGGTAGAAGGTCCTTGGTGCTTGTGTTACACTAAGTGTTTCTGGGGGGTAGAAGGTCCTTGGTGCTTGAGTTGCAC